TTTCTTTATATTAGGGATGGGCGATACCACTTATTTTGTTTTCGATACGATACTAATGTTTGAGTATCGATACTTTCGATACTCGCGTCAGTATCGATATATCGATACTTTGGATCGATACGCCCATCCCTACTTTATATAAATGCTCTCTCTCATACACACACATAATCTCATGTATGTGTGCATGAACAGACTAATGGGGGAAAAAAAAACTGCCACAGCAGTTTGAGTCTGTAATTTTGATAAACCGAGTTTATTTCTTTCACTGTAGTGGCTGACAGCTGTGAGTGAATGTTAATGACTGCACTCGACTGACGTCAGTGCTAATGTCTCTGCCAGCCAGATAAGACTCAGATTGCCGTACCTGCTAATTAAAAACAACACACACACATAGAGATGAGTGCCACAAAAACTAACTTCATAATTGTATCCCCTCTCATTCATATCAGTGTAAACAGAAGGCTTGCCAATCATTCAGGACTAGCGCTAATGCTAACTCATTGTGCTAATGACTTGTACTCGCTGTAAATTGGAAAATAAGGCACATTAACAAACAAGGGGATAAACAGACCTCTGTGTTTTGTAGGACTGAAAGCCAGATGTTTTCTAAGTGGATAAACTTAACAAACAAGTTATTTAAAGATACTAGAATAATGATAAAAAAGTGTTTCTTTACTAAAACTCAAAATTCTTTAAAACATCCTGTTGGTGTTCAATAATGAAAGAAAGGCTTATAGGTTTAAAATGACATGAGGGTGAATAAATGCAATAGGCTTGTAAAGCTCTGTATGGACAAATTAAGTTTTACAGCATTAACACAAACAGTTTACTAAAAGCTTTGAGTAAGAGTTGGATTGGAGCAGTCTGGCCATTAACCCTGACTGGCCACTAACCCTGACTATTAACCATTTTACTATCCCAGCTCAGTAACGCCAGGGTGGCATTACCAAGCTGGGATAGTAAAAAAATGTTTGCCAGATTTAGCCCGTAACCCCTGAGTAATTATAGGGTAATTATAGGCTTCTGTTCCCTTATGAAACAGAAGTACACTTTAGCATACTTTTAATAAGACTGTAGGGAAGTTTGAACTATATGTGCTGATCAGGAGATTGTGCTCGCCCCAGGGTGTCAGTAAAAACACGGCACAGGATTCAGAACATTCTGACTTTACTATTGTAAGTGTGTGGTCTGAAATAAACAAATAAATAACATATTGCAATAATATAATTACAACATACATACATGATATTTTACAATACAATTCTTAGTTAAAGTCGGCATGAAATCAAAATTGACTTTATTTACTTTACTAGCGCACATTGCTAGTCATGATGTTAACAATTAATCCGTGCAAGTTAATCCGCTGAAAAAAATTGTTTGTCTTTGTAATCTTTAATCAAAATCTGAACATTTGCTTCCACTCTGGAATGGCAGTACTTCTCTGATGATGTCAGTTTGACGGCTTGGGCAGAATATCCTTTTAAACACACCCCTCCAACCGTTAGTTTGATATGAGTGAGAGACAGAAAGGAGGAGCGCCAAAATAAAACCATGCCCTCTATTCAATATTCCGTTTCAGAAGGAAATACGTCATTACACTGAAATAAAGTCGGCAGCAACTTCCGGTTCACGCGGACTTTAACTGCAATACTTAAATTGCCCTTTAGATGGCGAATTTTGCATATATAACAGTGATTTGCAAATTCTCCGTGTCTATTATAAAGTGCTCAGTCATCATCGTATATGAACGGGATTACGGAGAATATGATAAAAATCAATATCAAAAGACTTATTAACTGAGTTATGTTGCACCAAAGCAATGATACATAAGGAATAAAGCAAATAAATAACTCTATATGCACAATCTATTATATTTATGGTAACAACATCAGCGTGAATTCTGATAACTCTGAGGAAACAAACAACTCGCTAATTTCCGTAAAATAAAGCTGTAACATGGCAGGATAACTATATTAAATATCACAAAGAAGTATATAGACTTACATTTTCGCATTAACGCACACAAATTAGACAAACTTCAAAAATTAAGATCAGGAACTCAGGAACACGCATTCATTCTCTTACTCCGCTCGCTGACAGGAGAGGTCTGGAAGTTTCTAGCTCGCCACCTATCATCCTTTCCCAACATCACCAATAAAGTGGTCTGTGATTGGTTAGATCTCCTTGACATTGCCACCCCCAAATATGAAGGGTATATTTGTTTCTGAATCTAAGTTAAGAGCCTGCTGGTTTGACGTTGGTGTCATTCTCATCAGCAAACTCTGGTAGGTTAATGAGACGGGTAACAGGCTGTGCATATAGTCAACCCTTAAAGGGTTAGTTCACCCAAAAATGAAAATTAGGCTGTGTTTTACTCACCCCCGAGGCATCCTAGGTGTATATGACTTTCTTCTTGTAGACGAATCCAGTCGGAGTTATATAAAAAATTGTCCTGGCTATTCCAAGCTCTATCATTGCAGTCAACGGGTGTTTGCAGTGCTTCAGTCCAAAAGAAGTGAAATAAAAAGCGCACATCCATAAAAAAAAGTGTCTCATACGGCTCTGGGGGGTGAACAAAGGCCTCCTGTAGCGAATCGATGCGTTTTTGTAAGAAAAATATCCATATTCAAAACGTAATAATCACTTTAATCTATCTTGCACCGACAGTTGTACACGGAAGCAGCTCCGGGCTGATGACGTATGAGGTCAGCATTGCGCAGCGTTGATCTCTACAGACCTTACTTGTCCATCTGCTCCAGGGAATGTCCTGACAACTCTCCCGATTAACCAGAGGGCTCATGGTAGTTGAGGGTCAACCAACATTACGACAGATCCAACTGCAAGGTTTTTAGTCTCTGCATGCCATTTGTGTCGCAACTGGAGGTTAGGCAAGTAGTGTCTCACGAAGCTTGACCAGAAATGATCAGTGAGAACTTAGCTTTGTCTCCATCGGCGTTGTCCTGTGAACTCATTAGCAGGGTATGTCACTTGAGGTAGAGAGCTGTCTGGCCGCCCCATGAGCAGGAGATTTGGGATAACTGGATCAGCTATGTTGGAGGAGACATATCCTAGGGGCTTACTATTGAGAATTCCCTCTCTCAATAAGCACTGTTTGAAGCTCTTCCTCTGTCACTGTTTGTGCACCTACTACTGCACGGAGGGCATTTTTAAGGGATCGGATCTCTCATTCTCAGATGCCACCAAAGTGGGGAGCATTAGGAGGGTTGAAGAGGAATGTGATTTTTTTGTTTGGCGAGATGTTGTTGAAACTCTTGGCTACAATCTTTCTCCCTCCCACAATCTTTTTTCACAGCGTCTGCCTATCTTGATTTGGAAGGACCCAAAATAATCCATACCAGTGCTGTAAAATGGAGGTTTGTGGAGTCTCAGATGTGCTGGAGGTAAATCAGCCATTTTAGGGACCTCAGATTTAGCCTCCCACTTATGACATGCTATGCAGTTGTGTTGGGGTTTTCAAACTGCCTCACGACCTCGTAGTATCCACACATTTCTCCTCATTTCAGCAAATACCCGTTACGGTCCTGGGTGACACAGCTTACTGTCATAATCCTGTATGAGTAGTTTGGTTGCTGGATGGTGAGGATCCAGAACTACTGGGAGAATTGTATGGAGTTCTAGACCTTTAGCACGACATAGACGTCCTCCGACCCGTATAAGCTGACTGGATTCATCAAACTCTGGGGCTAAAGTGAGTAAGCGGCTTGTAGTGGATACAGGCTTACCAGCTTTTAATTGTTCATATTCCTCTGGGAAGCTGTCTTGTTGGATATTTTGGAAGATGAGACGTTCTGCCGTCACATAGTCTTTAGGTGTAGGTGAACTGGATTGGTTTGAGTCACTTTGATTGTGCTGAACTGTGGCTTCAACCAGTTCTTTCCCAGTGTTGGGGGTAACGCGTTACAAGTAACGTGCGTTATGTAATAATATTACTTTTCTGAAGTAACGAGTAAACTAACGCATTACTTTATAAATTTACACATGAATATTCGAGTTACTTTTTTAAAAAAGTAACGCGAGTTATTTTTCTCAGTTTAATTAATTTGCTTTAAAAAAAATTAATTAATTAAAATGAACGTAATCACGTAGAATCACGCACTCAATGCGTGCGCGGGAACAGACATAGTCAGAAACGGAGATTGCAGGCCAGAGCTTTACATTTCTGCGATGGAAGTATTCTCATTATTTTAAACTTGTCGAAGAAAAGGAGAAGGAGATTGTCGTTAAGTGTAGATTATGTGTAGGTGAAAAACTCTTGTCAACTGCAAAAACCACCACTTCAAATAAAAAAAAAAAACATCTGCATGCAAAGCACAGCACAACAGAGTTGGACGAGAAAGAGCCGAATGATACCTGGACCCCACCTCAAGCTAAACAAAAGCTTGATTTCAGTTCACCTTCACCAGGTAAAACAATTAGTTCGACTGAACTCAACAAATTGGTTGCTGCTTTTATTGTCGAGGAGATGCAGCCACTATCCACTGTGGAGGCGCCTACATTTCGTAATATCATAAGCAAAATCTCAGTGACAGGCAAAAGGACGGGGGCCGTGCTGCCCGATCGCAAAACCTTTACAAACTTTTTGGACAATGCATATATGGAAATGGAGACAGACCTAAAGAAAACTTTTGCCGACCTGGAATATGTTTCCACCACTGCAGATCTATGGACTGCTCAGAATAAAAGTTTTCTGGGCATTACTGTACACTGGATCGACCCTGCTAGTCTGCATCGCCAAAAAGCTGCAATCGCCTGCAGGCGATTTCGTGGGAGACACACGTACGATGCCATTGCAGCGGAGATAGAGCAAATTCACAGCTCATTTGCTATTTGTGGTAAGATAACTGCCACTGTCACGGACAATGGCGCAAACTTTGTAAAGGCATTCAGAATGTTTCAAGCTGATGATGATGAAGCAGAAAATAATGAAGACGAGGTCATCTTTACGGACTTGCACGAAGTCTTACGGGATGACAGTGAGACCAGCGAAAGGTATATTCTCCCTCCACATCACCGATGTGCATCCCACACCCTTAACTTTATATGCACGAATGGCGTAGTTACATTTTTGACGGCAAAGGCAGATTGCAAAGCAGTGTACAGGAGTGCAACTGGAAAGTGTTCAGCCTTGTGGTCAAAAGTTAGTCGATCAACTGTGGCATCAGAGATCCTGGCGGAATTCAGCAAAAGAAAGTTGCTGGTCCCTGCAACTACAAGGTGGAACTCGTATCATGATGCGCTTAGCAGAGTCACAGACATCCCCTTAGTAGACCTCAATCAACTTTGCACTCGCCTGGACATCAGATGCATTACGGAGAGAGAATGTCAGTTTCTAAAAGAATACTGCAAGGTTCTGAAACCTGTCTGTATGGCTTTGGATATACTTCAAGGTGAAGATGACTGTTTCTACGGCACCCTTCAACCTACCCTTGAAATCCTGATGGCCAAAATCTTGGCACTGAAAGAGGGCCTCTCCCATATGATGGCCGACGTCCCAGACCTCATAGTTCAGGTAAGTCTGTTCAATAGGCTATTGTATTATTATTATTATTATCATTATTATTATTGTAGTTTTATTTTGTCAAGTCACTTTCTATAGCACTTTATACAATACAGATTGTTTTAAAGCAGCTTTACAGTGATAACGGGAAAATAACAATTCAGTGAGGCAAATAGAATTCAATTCTGCTGTAAAGCAGCTCTAAGAAGAAAATAGTAAACAGTCATTATTCAGTTCAAATCAGTTCAGTGTTTATTTAGTTTGGTTCAGTAACTGTAGTTCATTAATTATGAAATGAGTTCAATATAGCTATAAGGCAGCTCTGGAGAAAACAGTGATGTCATCATCCAGCTCAGTTCAGTTCTCGTACAATAGTGTCAGTGCATTCAAGTCAATATGTTTATGTATCTGTTATTAAGTTTAATTCTACTTTTTTTCCTGACATAATTTTAATTAATCTGGTATGAATGCATGTCTATTATTTTATAAACTTTGTAACCTATCTAAAATTCTCTTGCAGGCTATCAAGACATGGTTTAGCACCATCCTTGACAGTGATGAAGCTTTGCTTGCTGCGGTAATCCTGCCAAAATTCAAGCTGTGGTGGCTGAGGGATGAAACTAGAAAAGACACCATCAAGATGACTCTGGCAGCACAGTGTCGTGCTCTCACAGTTGAGATACCACAGAAAGAGCCACTGCAGTCTCCTGAAAGCAGAGACCATGAAAATGACTTCTTCGCATTTCCTGAAGAGCAGAATCAACATGACAAACAAGCAACTACTGTGGAAATGGAGATATGTGAATACCTTAAATCAGCTGATATGGGAAATTTACATGATTTCCCCAGGATTCTGAAAATCTTCTTAAAAGCAAACACAGCAACACCTTCCAGTGCGCCGGTTGAGAGGCTGTTTAGTATTGGAAGTCTCATCCTCACCCCAAAAAGAAACCGTCTCACAGACCAGCGTTTTGAGAGACTTCTCCTGCTGCGCTACAATCGTTACTTTGAAAATAAAACCCAGATGAAATAGTGAACTCATAGTATTAAGATAAGAATACTCTAAACCACACACACACACACAAATGTGTGTTGTTGTTTTTGTTTTTTCACTGAATTGCAGAAGCGATCTGGACTTTTTTTGTTTGTTTGTTTATTTGTTTGTTTCTTTGCATGAAACAAATTTTAGTTTGAGGACACTTAGTAGAAAACTCAAGAGTTTTGGTTTATTGGAATCAACTTATACATTTGTTTAGGCCGTGTCAAGCAATTTTTCAAATTTTAAAGCTGTTTAATTGGGGATGTTGTTTGTTCTCTAGTATCATCTCATTGTTCTCTAATAAGTTATTAAACATTTTAAATGTTTAAGATCTGTCTTTTGCCCTAATATAACTTATTTCATAATGGCAATTATCTAGCCTATATTACACTCTTTATTATCTCAATGGACAGTGAATTTACTTTATTTAACACAAAAAATGCAAAAGTAACAAACATTAATTTCAGCTTTCAATAATCTGTAATGTTAAGAGATCTTTTATATGGTATGTATAGCTCTGGGGTCAGAAAGTTCTCAGAATATAATTCTATATTATTATTCTATATATGTGTTTTTTAAAGAAAAAGAAGGGTGAAGGCTGTTGTTGAATGCAGAACTACTCAGTCAAAAAAACAAAACACTTGCAAGGCCTGAAAGAGATCAAGCCTCAGCCAGGTAAGAAAAAAGTAACGCAAAAGTAATATAATGCATTACTTTCCATAAAAAGTAACGAAGTAACGCAATTAGTTACTTTTTTTGGGAGTAACTCAATACTGTAATGCATTACTTTTAAAAGTAACTTTCCCCAACACTGGTCCAGGAACTGTACTCACTGGGGTTTAAGCGATTTGACATTCTTGTGTCACCACATAATACACCTTTTCTCTTTTCCACTTCATCCTCAGGGGTTTTAAGGGTTGGCATAGCTGGCCACTCTGATTCGGCTTGTAGTAAGAATGGTGGGCGTTGACTCCATCTGTTTGGTGTTGCAAGCTCTATTAGGCTGCGCCCCTTTGTGAGATCATCTGCGGGGTTTCTAGGAGAGTCTACGTATCGCCATTCATGTTGGTCAGTTAGGTCTTGACTTTCTGCTATCCTAGTCCCTACGAAGACTTTGAAGGTACAGGACTCAGATCTTAACCATGAAAGAACTGTTGTCGAATCAGACCACAAGACCACTTGGTTGATTTCAATGGCGAGTTATTTTTCAAGCAGCTTTGATAGTTGGGCATCAATAAGAGCTGCACATAGCTCGAGTCTCGGAACAGTTTGTTTGTTTTTGGGGGCAACTTTGGATCTGGCAATCAGGAATGCAAGCTGAATTTTGCACTCTTCATCTTCAGTTCTGAGGTTTGACACAGAGCCGTACGCTTGTTCTGAATCGTCACAGAAGATATTAATTTGTCTTGTGACATTGGGTCTGTCCATATCTGATGAAACATAGTACCGTGGAAGTGTAACTTCAGAAAGGATGGGGAGCTCATTCTCCAGGCTTTCAATAGGTCTGTTGGCAACATGGGGTCGTCCCAATCTCTTTGTTTGTTCCACAACTGTTGGATCAGAATTTTAGCATGGGTGGTGAAAGGGAGAATGAATCCCAGAGGGTCATACTGGCTTGCTGTCACCTTATAAATGTGCCGCATAATGGGTGTGGTTTTTGGTACTGGGCGGTGTTTGTAACCAAGGATGTCTGCGTCACAGTTCCATCTCAAGCCAAGAGTGGATTCTTGTGGTTCGACTTTGTCATGTGATAGCCAAAGCTCAATGCTGTCTGAATGAGCCTCTTGAGGAAGGTGATCAATGACATTTGGCATGTTGCAGGCCCATTGACGAATCTCAAACCCACAACTGCTAAGAAGGCCACACAAACCATCCACCAACTGTTTGGCATCATATGGGAACCTTACGCTCTTGAGGCAGTTGTCTACATAAAAGTTCCGTTCAACTGTTGATCTGAGGGTGTCATCTGGTTGCGTGTTGTCCAAAGCATGGTGCTGTACAGCATAAATGGCACAGCAGTGGCTGCAGGTTGTGCCAAAGGTCATCAATTGCCAGTCATAAATGCTGGGAGGGTTACTGGGTTCAAGATCACGCCAGACAAAGTGGAGGAGATGTTTGTCGTCAGGCAGTAGGCGGACCTGATGAAACATACCCTTTATATCTCCACTTACTGCAACAGTATGCTCCCTGAAACACAACAGTACTCCCAAAAGGGAAGCGCTGAGTGCAGGTCCGGCAAGGAGGTAGTGGTTCAGGTTTTGACCCTTGTGTTCAATGGAGCAGTTGAACACCACACGGTTTTTACCATTATGTTGAACCATGTGGTGGGGAATAAACCACGATTCTCCTCCAGTGGTGAGCTTAACTACATAGTCAGAATTCTCTAGTTTCTTGACCTCTTCATTGTATGTAGCTGCCTTCACAGGATCCTTTGCCAGTCGTCACTCTGTGCTTCTCAAGTTGGGCATGACGGAATCCTTAGTGGCATGGAGGTGAGGCATATCAGCTTTCCTTAGCAGCAGTGTTGCATAGCGGTTTACTCCATCTACCATGACTGGTGGTTCTGGCTTGTAACAAGTCCATTGCCATTTGATCTTGTTTTGATCGTACAGCCAATCTCTAATTTTTGTGTGGGATGGCATCACCTTGCCAAAGTCTCTCCACATTCCGGAAAAGTTCTTCCATTTGAGGGTTGACGGAGATATGCAAACATTGCTGAGGTTGGAACTGTGTTGGGCATTGTAATGTCCAACTTAGTCTGGTTCTGATTGCTGCTGGACCTCCAGGGGGCCCGAGGCGTGCAGGCTCAATGGGTGTAATCAGGTGGGGATGATCTGCTCCTATTAGAAGAAGGGGACATGCTTTGTGAATGGGATGCAAAGGAATCCCTTTCAGGTGTTGATATTTCTGTTGGAGCATTGCGATGGGGTAGGAGTGCTCAACCAGACTTAAGTGCTCAGAGGTAAAGGCGTTCTGGATTTGGTAGCTCCATTGAGGCTGTGATATTGAGCGTACCCTAAAGTAAACTGAGGCCCCAATGAGTTTCTTGACATCTTGTCGAATTGTTCTTAATGCTAGGTCCTCTCTCTGTCCCTTAAGCCCTAGTTTCTGAACTGCTGCTGGGAGTAGCATGGTTCTTTCGGATCCATCACCGAGCACTGCGTAGGTGTTTAGGGTTTGGTTCTTGTGTTGCAGGACAACAGGAATCACTTTCAGCAGAACATGCTTGGAACCTTCAGGCCTGTCCAGGTACAGGGTTTCATTTGTGGAGCTCACCAAGCAGGTGCCCTCTGTCTGTGATTGGTCATTCACCTCATGAAGGATTTGAAGGTGTTTCCCATTACATAAGCGACAGGGCTTTTTCAGGGTGCAATTTTTCGCTAAGTGTGACCGCCCACATTTCCAGTAACAGTTGTTGTCTATGATCCATTTAAACATTTCCTCTTTACTGAATTTCTGGAAGGTGGTGCACTGGCTTAGGAAGTGTTCTGTACTGTCACAGTATGGGCACAACACTCTACTCTGTTCAAGTCTCTGGACTGGGTTGGACTGCTTTGAGGGTGACAGTACCTGTGTAACTGTGTTAGGGGACCATTCTACGTCTCTGCTCCTTTCTTTGATTCAGGTCATCACAGTTTTGGCACCAGGATTCAAACTTGAGCCACTCTGCTAAATCCAGTAGAGTGTAGACTGCACCAGACTGATAGGGCATGTGTCGTCTGAATGAGGCACGTAAATCTGTGGGAAGTTTAGTGAGCAGGCGGGCTACATGTGAACCACATTGTAATTCCACGTTACCTTCAGGACCTAATGTCTTCAGGAGACCCACAAGAGCTTGGATTTGAAGGGAAAACCTATCAAAACTGGCCAAATCTCCAGGCTGAACATCAGGGGCATCAATGACCGCTGCTATATTAGTTAAGGCTAACTGGTGAGGTCTTCCAAATCTGTCAGTAAGAGCAGTCATAGTGTCTGTGTATGGCCAAGGGGAACTGAGGAATGAGTCTGCAATTAGGCAGGCCTCTTCAAACTTCAGATGATCTAAAAGGACCTGATACTTGAATAGCTCAGTTGCATCATCAGGAAGCAGATTGTTAAGGGCCAACTTTAGACGAGCGAACTCACTGGGGTCACGACGTGTGAAACATGGAATCGTTGGCTGTGGGCCCCTGTAGGAAGTCTCTGGACATACAGTGCTCTGAGGCCACCCCATGGGAGAAGAATATGGCAGATTATGGGCAGTAGCAGACTGTGGTCTGGACTTGTAGGCATATATGTCTGCACCTGGCTTAAAGGAACTCTCCCTGGGTGGTGCCTGGGGTCTGCGTAGAGTAGGTTGTGGAATGTAGGGCACTGGACTTGGTGCTGCTGCCTCAGGTGGTCTATAAATGGTTCTAGGCAATGGCACTGGAGTCGCTCTGATTTGCTGTGGTTGAGGTGCTGGTAAGGCTGACTGCTGCTGTACCATTAAAATCTGCATAACTTTGTGAAGGGTCTGTAACTGCCAAATTTCCTCTTTAAGGACCATCTGAGCTTCACATAGTTGCATATTCTCCCTTTTCAGATCTTGAACCTCCAACCTGTGTCTAACAGATGTGAATGAAGACTCATCCTCTTGTAGCAAATGCTTCTCCTCTCCATCACTTTCATAGTGCAGCGTGGTGGACCACTGTCTATCAGGTTGTCTGTCAGCACGGGAATCCATAGTACTCATGGCTCCAGCTACTGCTTCAATGCTGTAACCATGTGAACTTGAAAAGGGAAAGTCACTACGATCAGAGAATGATATCCTAGGCTTGTCTCTCCTTGTACCTTGTTGTGGCTCCGTGCACATATGAATGCTGCGTGGGGCTGGTTATAACTGGTTCAGTTGGTTGCATAGGATAATTGTACCTCATAGTCCCTGAGATAGGCTGGAGGCTGGGTTCTGCGTTGTGGGCGCCAGTGTTGGGCAGTAACGCATTACTTAGTAACGCGTTACTGTAATCTGATTACTTTTTTAGTAACAGAGTAATTTTATAAAGAGTA